AAAAAAAAAAAAAAAAAAAAAAACCTCACCTAGGCCTCCCTTTACATGTTCAAAGTATTAGAATTATATTTTCATTCATGATTAAATTGTCATATATAAATATCTTTGAAAATTTGAAACATATAATTTAAAAAGAGCAATACAAACAAAATAGTAATAACTGCACTGTTTTTCTCTACCTGGGAATCTTTCATATTTCTTGTAATAGTGGGTCTTGACTAATGAGGCTTATTTGCTCCTCCCTGTTCTGTGTTCTGATAGCCCTGCACATATCTATACTATGAAATTTCTCATATTGTATCTGAGTAACTATTATTTCTCTCCAGTGGTCTGTGACATCCTCAAGTAAAGGTCCTGGTCTTACTAATCTCTTTGTTCTCAGCACCAAAACCAAAACTTGGTACATAAAATAGACTCAATAAATATTTGTTGAAATCAATGAAGAAATGGGTTAATAACATATATTCATGCATTTAAGTGGACAACAACTCTTAAGCCTCAATGAATTATCTCTCGGTTTCATCATCTGTAGAGAAGAAGAGCAAAGAAATCTGATTAGAAATCAGATGATAGTACAAATTCCAGTGTTTGTAGAAAAAAATTTTTTAATATTTTTTCTTGTTTGATAGTTATTTATGAAGTCATATGTATTCTGTTAGATTGTAAGCTATTTGGAAGAAGGAAATAGCCATTTTTTAGTGTCATATTTTATTACTCATTTCACATTTATTTTCTTATCACTAGGATTTTAATGTTCATTTCAGTTTGGGTCCAAGTAGGGATGAGTAAAAAAAAATATCAAGAAACTACACTTTGATGACATTCACTAATAATTATTTCTTAGTACTTTCCATCTGTGTTTTTTTAAAGTGAGTTTCACTTTTACTGGGTACTCAATGTTGAATGGATCCCTATATGATAAAGCAAGGATAGCATTCCTATTATATAAACAAAATGCAAAAGAATTAAGAAATATCTCGATGATTGTGAAATGCATAAAAATGACTGATATCAATACAGAGCTTTCCTAGTCCAAATTCAGTTTAATAGAAGCACAATACAATGTCTCAGAGACCAATTAACATATGCTCAGTAGTTTTTAAAGTAGTTTTTAAAGTCCCCTATAAATGCAATCTGATTTAAAATATTCTGTACAGTGAATGCACTGCCAAAGGCATTCAGTTGTCTTAGTGATGGACTCTTTAGCCACATTTGTCTACTCCACACTTTTACATGCCATGTAGTCTTTTATATGACTTTTTTAAAATAAGAAAGCCCAACATCCAAAGCAGCAATCGCACCATTTACTACTATATGCTTTGGAAACCAAAGGTAGAAATATCTGGTAAGTTTCTGGAGAAGTATGGCCCATCTGTGGAGAGTTGTAACAGTAAGAAATCTAATTTAGATACTAATTAAAAACTGAAAAACTGCTAATGAGGATATTCAAGGGCAGCTGTCTTAGGATATCCAACTTTACTATTGACAAAGATGCTCCCAACAGAACTCAAAATTAGCTGATGTCACTATACAAACATGGTCCAGAAAACCAACCAACAATCAATATGAATGATAATGAGACTCTAAACCTGGGCAACTGCATTGAATGTTAAAAGGGAAATGTCATGGGTTGGAAATCTCTGGGTCTTAGAAATACTTGTATTCCACAACAATCTTTATGAGCCCAAATAGTAGCAATTGTTTTACATATGGTGTGGAAATGATGCCTAACCAGTTAGTATCTAGTTTCAAAAGAATTTTAGCAACAAGGAACATTTATTAGGTCATTATTATAAATAGAAAAACTAGGCCTGAGATAATTTATTACATATCATAATATTAAAGTTTTGTAACAATGCAATGAATACATGGGTTGTTATAGTGCATGCATATAGATTTGTGAGGCGGGGATCCAAAGCATTGGTAGATAGTCA